GGGGTGGGCTGTGGCCCGTGAGGCCACTCCGAGGACAGGGTGGGCTCTGCTTCTGGAGCTGCCGGGCGGGGCTTTGGCTCCCTGTTCTTTGTCTCAGCTGCTTTCTCCTTCCAGCTGAGACATCCCCCTGGGTCTCCCCTGGCTGCAGCTTGGACCCTCTGCAGCCCCCACCCCACATTCCCACTAGGAAAGGTTCTCTGGGCCCTTCACAGGTTCCCTGAAGGAAAGGAGTATCTTGGGGTGACCAGGAAGCTGAAGGAGAAGACGAAGATGGAGACATCACCATTGCAGAGACCTGGACGGTTCCATCCTCCCTCTGAGCCTCCGTTTTCCATCCGTGGATTGAGAGGGTTCCTAAGGTCCTTCCCGCTTTGGCTTTCACTGTGGGCGGGGTGGGACCGTGATGAGGATCCATGTGTGGTTTTATTAGGTGCCGTTGAGTAGGTTCCCACTCGTAGTGAAGCTGTGTGCACCAGAAGCAAACACAGCCCAGTCCTGTGCAGCCTCACAATCCTTGCTCTGCTCGTGCCCGTCACTGCAGCCACGTGTCAGTCCATCTCGTTGCGGGTCTTCTTCCCCTTTTCTGCTGACCCTCGACTTTACCAACCATGACGTCCTTCTCCAGGGAATGGTCCCTTCTGACAACATGACCAAAGTATGAGAGATGATGTCTGGCCATTCTCGCTTCCAAGGAGCATTCTGGCTGCCCTTCGTCCAGGATGGATTGTTCTGCTATGAACATTTGTTCCTGGTGGTTTTTATACCCTTCCCTCATTTCCCACTTGGATACTTAGCATTGTCTGTGATTGCTAGAGCGTTTGGAGACAATGCTACAGCACAAATTGTCCTCACGACTACTGGGATTCTGAACAACCACTTCCCAGGAATGAGACCCGGAGATGTGGGAATGACGGGAAGGCCAGGCTAAGAGCATCCGAGTGCACTGTGGGTGTGGGATGTGTCTGTTGTCTCTGCCCCGTTTAAGGTCAGAATCCATTCCTCACTGAGATTAAAACAAAACAATAAAACCGATTACCTGCAGAGTTAATTCCCACTCACAGCGACCCCATGTGGTACAGGATAGAACTAGGCTTCATAGAATTTTCAAGGTTGTGACCTTTTGGGAGCAGAACATGGGGTCTGTCGTCTGGGTTCGAACCGCCAACCAGTCAGTGAGTAGTTGGGTACTTAATTGTTTGTGCTCCCAAGGATTCTTCACTCAGATTAAAACAGAAAATTACTGGGCCAACCGGTAGGAGGTGAGGCCTTCTTTATTAATTAATTTTCCTTCCGTTTCTAAAAATACAGAGGTCAGCTGGTGTAGTGGATAAGGCATTTGGCTGCTAACCAGAAGGGCAGCAACTCAGACCCACCAGCCCCTCTATGGAAGGACGATGGGGGTGATCTACTTCTGTAAAGATTTACTGCCTCAGAGATCCAATAGGGGCCGCTATGAGTCAGAATCAACTTGATGGCAGTGAGTTTTTTCTTTTTTAAATAAGGAGCTCTGGTGGTGTAGTGGTTAAGGCATTTGTCTGCTAGCCAAAAGGTCAGAGGTTTGACCCCACCAGCTGCTCTGCCGAAGAAAGTTGAGGCAGTCTGCTTCCATAAGGATTTATAACTTTGGAAACCCAATGAGGGTCGCTATGAGTTGGAATTAACTCAAGGGCAGTGAGTTTCGTTTGGTTTGGTTTGTTTAAAAATAAACTAGTGAACCAACAACCAAAGCTGAGAAGAAACCTAAATGCCTGTCCCTGGTCCAGTAATAAACTGTTATTTTACATAACAAACAGAATATTACAAAAATCAAACAAAGCCTCAGATAGCTCTTATTATGGGGTCATTGGTATTTTGGTTCTCTGCAAACATTCACGCCCCATACAAACCCTCTTCAGTATGCCCTATTCTTACCCCTATTTGTACTTTAAGAAACAGGGGCCTGCAACATTGATTTGTCCGTACAATGCCAGGTGTTAGAGCTGCGGGCCACGTGGGGGCGCCACTTCCCGTCTGAATCCCGGCGATGCCGGCTCCTACTGGGCTGGGGTGTTAGCAAACAGGGCGAGAGCTGGGCCTTTCTCCTCCGTCTCCATTTGTACTGAGTTTTCATTTTTCAGTTTGTACTCAAGTTTAATTTCCTTGGAGATCTGCTCCCCGAACCCCATTTTCTGTTTCTTTGTTTTCTTCTGTTACCTCCGCACTCAGTTGCTTTGTGTTTCAAGGGGGTCTCTCTCTCTTTCTCTCATTCCTCCTCTCCCTCCTTATCCCTCTCTGTACACACACACTGTTATTTTTCAACTGCTGAATGATGCATTTTCCCTGAAACCTCATTTGTTTGGATCTGACCCAGAGAAGAAGAGTGTGGGCACAAGGACTCCAGCAAAACACTGGAGTTGAAAACCCAGCATCTGCAGAGAGGTTTTTGTGAATTATTTTGCCTTCCTCAAGAGCGCTGGCTGGCCAGGGCATAGCGTCTCCCCAGTGAAACAAGACTCTCCAGTTAGTCCAGGCAGCAAGGCTGGAGGGGGGAGCGAGACAGAGAGCGGGTTAGAGGCAATGAAAACTAGTAACAATAACAACAAAATTGCCTCTGTCTTGGGAGATGGGAGGAAACAGCGGAAGATGGGAAACAGACCCAACAACCTGGCCTTTTCTTCTTGACCCTCCAGCCTACCCAAAGCAGTGACCAAGACTCAAGGGAAAAGGGACCCAGAAACCTTCCTGTCTTCTCATGTCGCTTGGCCTCCAAGCATTGCCTGGAGCACCAGGCAAGCTTCATTACACATGATGGGGGAGCGACCAGGCAGAGACAGGACTGACCTTGAAGTTCTGACCCTTTCCCACCAAAGAGCCCTGGTGGCACAGTGGTTAAGTGCTCATCTATGAACCCAAATGTCGACAGTTCAAACCCACCAGCTGCTCCTAGGGGGAAGGACATGGCAGTATGCTTCCTTGAAGATTTTTATTCTTGGAAATCCTACGTATGGGGCAGTTATCTTCTGTCCTATGGGGTCGCTAAGCGTTGGAGTTGTTTCCACGGCAACGAGTCTGGCTTTTGGTGTTCTCCCCATCAATTCCTGTTTGGGATGTTCCCACCTTTTGACTAGTTATGTTTTCTACGACATCAGCTGACAGGTTTTTAGCAAATTCTGGAGTCACTGGTTGGTTGGCACAAATGGTTAAGCACACAACTACTAACCAGCGTAGCAGTCTGAGCCCACAGGAAGGAGCCTCAGAAGATCTGACGTCTACTTCCAAAAGAACATGCCCATCGAAAACCCTACAGAGGATGGTTCTACTCTGACACACGTGGGCTCGTCATGACTCAGAACTGACTCGATGACAACTGTTTAATTTTAGCGTATTTTACTTAGCATATCTCCTACTCTCAAGTATTTGTTGTTTCATACAGTGCCCTCTCTCTCTCCCCCATCCTTTCCTACCTGGGCTACCATCACTGAACTATGTTTGACTACTTGATAGGCAGTTAATGGATGGTGTTTTATTTGCTGTGTTGGAGTTTCTTTGCATATGAGTGAGTTTCAACAAATACCCTATCACTGGCCTTTCTGCCTCTTTCTTTAGGCATTAAGGGTGGTCGTGTTCACATAGGAAGAAGTGCTTTTGATGAGGAGAGAGATGTTTGGACCAGAGACTGGGGATACCTTGCAGCCTGGGGAGGACCCCTCAGCTCCCACCACACCACCGTTCAGATAAAGAAGGCCTTCTCCTTTCTGTCTCAGGGCAGAGGTCCTGGCTGGCACTTTCCACTCTTTTGAAGTCCTGGGTCAGCCATGCAGGAGAAACATGGTGGTCTGGGCAGATGAGGGGATTCAGGCCAAGAGTTCTAGAGCACACAAGCCTTGGAGGACTTGCAGGCCCAAAACCTTGATTCTCTTCTCTTTGAAAATTAAGTGACCCCTTGGCTTGAGAGTGAGGTCTGGGCTTGAGAGTGGGGTCGGTGTGAGGGCACTGGTTGCAAGAGATGGCTGCATGTGGTTCCTAAGCAGACGGTTCCAACACATTATGTGCTTCGGAATCAAAGTACCCCAACTTGACACTTGGAGATGCAGCCCTATCCAAATCTCTAAAACATTTTTAGACCCCAGTCAACGTGGGCTCTCTTTTCACCAACTAGAGTTATTGGCACTAGCACAACCTTCCATTATGGTCCATATTGTTATGATTAAATTTGGCCTTTTGAAATCCCATGTCCATTTTAGGATTATCTCATAAAGTTCCAGCTACAACGACTGATAAGGAAGCCAAATCCAGGAAAGCAAGGCTGTATGATTCATAGGCATGTAATTCTAGACCAGTAGGAGTCAATGCATGAATAACGAATGTATTCATAGTGCTGTCTGAAGGAGGGTATTGTTTGGCTGAA